TTTGGAATTTGAGGTGACAAGCCATGAGAACGAGATCACCAAAACGAGTTTGCTTCTAAAAGATTTGTGGCACATAGAAGATGTGCATGTGCTTAGGGGGATTGTCATGTAGTTATACGCGCGATCATCTTTGTACCAGATGAAATTCCATGTCCTTGAAGAATTGGATGATACTTTTCTTTAATTAGGATCCTATTATATCTTTCAATATTGCCAAACCGAGCATGACCGAAGCAGATAAAAGTGTGCTTGAGTAGGATTAGTTTCTTCGAACCTCTCCAAGGTTAGTTGGATACCACCTTTTTAAATTCTCCCTTTTTCTGCGATCATACGAGGAAAGAATCCTTCAATACTTAATGCAACTATTTGTCCTTGTGCACCATCACTTTGCCCTTTTTCCCAGCCATCTTGGGCAGTGTAAAGGAATAAGAACTTTATTTTGTTATAATTTAGATCATTAGGACCAAAACAGTGTGCAATTAATATGGTTTAAAGTACTGAAAGACTAGCACGCATGTCTTAACTCGAATACACTGCCAGGATTTAATACTGGAATTCTATAACGACTGGACTCAAACTTTTGCCTCCTACTGTATATACTACAAATTTTGAAATGCTGTACTGTATAATGTACTTCTGAAGGGTAGTCTTCAAGATATCTTCATAGAGACCTTCAGCTTGAGTGCTGGAACTTTAATGTTTGGGTCAGGTTCGTGTCAATTAAGGCCAACATGCGTTTCACGCTCGAAACATAAATCAATTACTTAGCTGCAGAAATCATGAAGAGGATACCTCAAAATGCAATAACGCAAATGGTGAGGACAATTTGTTATTTGACTCGGTTTCAGGAAGTTGTGATTCAGTTGAAAAAACAACACTTTTTGTTTTTCATATATCAGGTTGCGACGTAGTCTAATCGAGAGAAATGATCAAATATTCAGCTGACTGGTCCCATTCCAATTTAAAAAAAAAATGTCCGCACAAGATGAATTTCCTGTCAGCCTATTAGATTTAGTTGGGTTGCAAAAAGTCTAAGCTTTTTGTCAAAATTTTTCACAGAAAATACATCACAATCTCAGCACTCCTTCGATCTGATAACGTTCATTCCAACCCCTATAGTTCATGCCGAGAATCAAATTATCAAAAGGCTAGTTTCCACTCAGGAAAAATCTCCTTTAGATCGGAACTGACAGGAAAATTTCCTATGTCGGCAAGTTCTTAGGCGGCGTTTATACAAAGGGAACTTTCCTGTCCTGTCCTGTCCAATCCAAAGGAGAATTTTCCTGAGTGGAAACTAGCCTAAAGCAATCATTACTTGTCTTATTATTTCATTACTGTCCTGTAACGTCTTCATGGGGAAGGTCTTTTTTCATTTGGCCGGTTTTAGAGGCTGCCGCGAAGATCAAGCGTTCAATATCAAAGAGTATACAAATAAAATTATTTGGTTTAGCTGTATTTAACTTCCCTTGTTTGTATATCTTGATAGAACGCATTGTTTGCTGATACTAACTAAACACGTTGCAAGAAAGATAAAGTGCTTGACGACAGTCACGACACAGAGCAGAGCAGAGTATGGACGTGCAAATTCCGCCGCACACGAGAGTTAAGCCGGTTTTCCACTAGCGATATTTTTCGCGCGAAGCGACATTTTACTTTTGTTCCAGAGCTCTCAACTGCTCTTTCGCTTCGCGCGAAAAATATCGGTAGTGGAAAACCGGCTTTATCATCTGAGCTATCAACCTCGCGAGGCAGTTTGCTGACTTAGCTCAGCCCGAAAACGACTGATCCGCACATGTGAGAAACTTGCCTCTCGAGGCGAATTCCTCACGAAAAACTATCAGCACATGAAAGTAACTTTCTGAGCTAACAGTCACGGTCACGTGTGCGGTGGGCTTTAAGGTCATATGCATTGCTTATACAACAATTTATGACAAGGCATTTAGTCACTCTGAGATTTGCGATCTTTTTCTTGGAGGTGGGCCGATAATATAATACACTATCAGTCTATCACATGGATTGTGTTTTTCGTATCAGATAAAGGTCAACTAGGGTGTTAAACTAATACGGTAAAGGAATAAAACTAAACAAAATCCGAAAATTATCATCTCATCATACATCATTTTGCTCTCTTTTATATGCCTTGAAAGCCGTTGCGAGCGCGCTTAATATAAAAATCGAAATATCACCAAACACTCGTGTTTCATATCGTTTCTAATGACACGAGTCAGGACTCTTGACTTGCAAAATATTCAAGACTTTCTTTTCCTTTTTCCTTTATCAAAATGATTGCAAATGATACTCGTTTAATGAATACGGCATTTCGCTTTATTAACTTTCATGTTAAAGATTTTCACGATAATCATGCATACACAGTCACAGACATACGATTGGTTTTCATAACATATAATTGAAAGTGCATTCAACGGCCGTTACAGCATTTCGAATTCGATCTAAACGCAAAGACGATCGAGACACAGACACTTTAATAGTAGCTACTTTGCATCGTTTTCATAACTTTTGTAGGCAAAGAGGATGGAGGAAAACGATCGCCATAAAAGGAAGGAACAAAAACCATGCTCTGTTAGGCCCATTTCAGACGTCGAACCTTTTATGTGCCGAATCGAAATTCCTAAACAAATACTTTAGCAATAGGACATGAAAATCGATTTAATTAATCTACCTTTGCACTGCATAATAATCAATGGCATATGCACTTTGCTTAAACGCACCTTGTAGCCTGTGTTAGACTAAAACCCAAATATTTCCTTATACGTGCCTCGTTACCACGATAAGACATAAAATTCGACGCCTAAATCACACATTCGTCTCAGACAGAGCAAAGTTAAGCAGAATGAAGATTCCCTTGCAAATGGTTGCTTTCTTTGCTGTACTTTATTATCCTGTAACCGTGAGAGGAAGCTCCATCAATAAACCAGCAGTGTGTGATGTAACTGGCAAAAATGACGGACAGACTTGTGAATTGAATGGACGTTATGGTGTGTGTTATCGAAAGGTATGCTTCGTTTCCTCCGCAAACACCAGACAAGTTCTGGTCAAGATGAGATACAACAAGAGCAACCCTTACATTCCGTCGCCAAAGCTCAGATCGTCGACAATGTGGCTACGCGGAAATGGTTTTGGATTAACCTGGGGAAAGGGAAAACAGATGAAGCGATCAAATTCCGAGGAAGATACTTGGGAATTTCTTTTGAATTTCACTATCACCGCCGCTGCTTCAGAGAAATACCAGAGACAACCTGTAAAGCTTGGGTTCCGTGTATATTTGGACGATACAAAGGATATGCTGGGAGCTAATTTTGTGCTTCCTTTGTCTCTATCAACAGACACAGAGGATTTGAGTGACTGGAAGGACATTCCAGTATTTTGGGTTTATCCTTGGTTCTTCCAAAAGAAAGGAAATACAACAGAGCGAACAATATTCTCGCCAGAGTTGAATCAGAGTCGAAACGTCATAATATACACGCCTGCAAGTTTTCATGAAAATGGATACAAAAAGTACGAGACATTGTTTTTTAACGATGGTCAAACACTGAGGTACTTGATACCACAAATTGATAATATGGTTGTCCAAAAGCCAGTCCTCAAAGAATTTATCATAATAGGTCTTGTCAACAACCCAACAGAAAGAACGCAATTATTGGTTCCATCTAATGGCACAGCCCCTCAATGCAGACGTGGGAATGGATCGAATTTTTGTGATAACTGTGTGCGTTGCTATGGAGAGAAAAGATGCAATGATACAGAACACATTAGGGACTACAAATGTTACCGTTGGGTTCCATTTGAGAAGGCATATGGCGAGCGTTACCTCGATTTCATTCAAAACACCTTAATCCCTGAATCACAAAATTCTTATAAATCTGCCATCGGTGCGGTCAATGTTGGCATCATAGGTTTCTCACTTGGGGGCTTGATATCATGTCACGCGATGTGGACACGTCCGGATACGTTTGGTTCCGCTGCTTGCATGTCGTCGTCGTTCTGGTGGCCATATCCCGAAAACGGAACGATTCCCGACGACATAGCTTACGAGTTTGTAAAGAGTACTCTTAACAATTCCCGAGGAGCGAGATCTTATCAGAAAGTATACATTGATGTTGGATCAAGTGAAGGTAGCGTCATGGTGGTTCCGGCTAGAAACGTCTCCAGAATCTTGGCCAACAGTCCATACTTCGAAATGAATAAAAACCTTTGGTTTTACATCTGGGAAAACCACGACCACGACTTTAAGAAAGCGTTGAAGCGTATCTGGTTTCCTTTAGTTGCCCTCTATGGTGCGGACGGCTCAATGGGGCCTGGAACTATTAGTTCTAGTACCAGTACCAGCCTTTGCACTTACTACCTTGTAATAATTGCGGCCGCAACTTTATTTTTACAAAGGTTTTGACTCATTTGGATTCACTAAAGTTTAATGATACGGCTAATGATATGAAGACTGTGGTGTATAACCTCTGCTGTAGTAGAACCTTTATAACTTTATATTATGATGTCAAAGTGACTTTCAATAAAGAAAACTGATTTTTGCTGTATTCTTGTTTATTTTGCGGGATTGATGTTCTAGGAAGGGTACAATTGCCCTTGTCCTGTGACCACCCACCGCTCTTGCCTGGCGATACGCCATCACAATTGGCCCTTTTAAAAACTAAAAATTTTCGTTCATTTGAAAGAAGAAACAATCTCCTGTCAGACTCCGGTCTAAAATCGTTTCACCGGTATACGTTATTTGTCGGTGAAAAACTGAATCTGAAAGCACTATTGAAATCCCGATTATAATGTCCATCGTTTTTCAAGCCTAACCGCTTTTGTTCTCTTGAAAGTATGAAGAAGTTATTAAGCAATTAATTTCGTGTGGCATACATGTACGCCATGGAAGGTTAGAAGTTAATCCTAATTATCCTATAACATTTCCCCCTTGGTTTCAGAGAATATCTTGAATCGAAGAAAAGTAGAATTTCTTCATTAATATATTTCATTTTGTCTTTATTGTGTCTGACAACTTTAACAATAAACTTGAGAGTTATAGAATTAGGCTATTTCCTAAATGCTAACAAGTTTTTAATGAGCCTTTGGAATCTTAATTAACACTAATTGATCGTTTAGCACTATGAAATTAATTACATCTAACACATCTAAAACTAGATTTTCTAAAGTACTTTAGTTTATGCCCAAAAGTTTCTCTGTAATATTCATCGAACATTTTTTCGTCTTTCAGCAGAATATTTTCCTGCCAGATATGCCCTGTTCCACATTCGTAGGAAACTTGCTTCCAAATCATTCAGTTCCTCTGCTCTTCGTTCTATGGAATGAGATATAGATATATTTCTCAGTCTAAACTGAACTATTTACAATTTGTTTTAGATAGCCGTCGACACTATGCTTGCCAGTTCTGGTCGGGCCTTCCGTAAAGATATATTGATCTACGCAGCCATTTATTTCTTAGTATTACTAGTAGAGTCTTACTCTATCACACTTTGGTAAAACATTTCTTTTAGAGAAAATGCTTATCGGTACCTGAACTATCAATGCATGTTCAAAAAACGTGACAAGCAACGTTAAAAAGTGTTTTTACTTTCTCACAAAAAAAAAACTTAAATTAGCCTGAACTTTTTTCGATCCAAGCGATTGTTGGATGGCCTTAATTATCACCACGCCATGACGGATCGACTATAAATCAACTTTGTTTCAAATTTTAACCCACAAACTTACCTTTTATCATCTCGTCCATCCGGTCTATACCATCTTCTCCAGTCAGCTCATTACGTTTTCCCCAACGTAAATGCTGAGCTGTCGATTGTTCCAGCACAAAGTTCAAGATTAAGCCAAAACACAGGAAAACCACAACATTCTTGAGAGAAGCCATTTCCCTATTAGTTTCAAACAGCCGGATATCGCCCTATACAGGTCAGGTAAAGATAATCTCGTATTAATCCGTTTAGGATCAACAAACATAGAATACGTTAATCGGCTATTCGTTTAGGTTTGGAAACATAAAATCCTACACTCACTACACAAATCCTAAAACACTGCAACTTCTTTTATTCTGAATTAAAAGCAAGTTGATGTATACACTATAGAGTAAATGCGAGCGAAAACTAAATTATATTGTATTAATTTTACTCACCTTACAGAAAACGAGATTCCTAACTTCTCTTCCTTTTCAAACCTGAATAGAGCGATATGATGGCTCTCGAATAATTTTGCCAAATATATACTCTCAGCCTTGTCATGCTGAAAGACGCGAATTAATCAAACTCTAATAATTATGACAACCATTTTCAAAACATAATTAAAATTTTATTAAGATTTTCGTACAAGATCATGAAGAGAATTAGGGTAATCTTTCCTGCAAGCAAATTAATTATCGATGCTCGCTTTTGTGTTTGAGACGTTGAAGCCTAAATTAGCACGGTTGTGTGTGGGCAAATTTTGTTTGGTTTGTCGTGGAAATTACGTGTTCTGGTTCCTGCTATTTTACCTCAGTATGAATTAAAAGAATATTCGTACACTGATTGATTATTGATTACGCACGTAGTGCCAAAGTCATTCAAAGAAAGCGAAAACCCCAGTAATAGTTCCCATCAACCTCAGTAATAGATCTTTTGTTATTGAAAAGAAGCGAACATATATGAATACTAAGTGTTGCAGTTTTTTTTATATCCATGTAGATACAGAGTTGGGTTCTATTGTGTCTTGATTTTGTGTGTCTTTTGTTGAGGTAAAAAACAATTATACAGTATAACGTGCGTGAACGTCTGTAAAAAAACAAGACTGTGAAAATTCCTGATTAGCATTTGTTGGGCCCACGTGATAAAATTAATATTATCCACGCATATATGGAGAGCAGTACTGGTTGAGTAGAAAAAACCGAAAAGTTGTTGGTTTCGCCAACGTCGCTGTCGGAAAACATGAATTCATCTATTGCGCGTTTCCGGCGGCAAAGCCGTTCGTGAAAACAACGTAGTTGGGCCGGCAGGCTATCGATGACCATATTATCGCTGACGCTATACCGAATATTCTCAACAGTATGCTCTCATTGTAATTCAGTTTAAGGGAATATTGCGGCTATGCGCCACACTCAAAACTCGAAAGTCAAAAATGAAATGTTTGGAAATTTTGAGATTATTTAATAGAGAGACTATTTTAAATTTTCACACGGGAATTGGTACGGTTAGTTGCGTTTGAATGGAATTATTGCGGTTTTACGGTCTACTCGGGGAAAAATGGAAAGCAAATTCGAGCAAATTCGAGATTAAAGTTGTACCTCGCCGATTATTTCCGTAAACCAAAGGCCTCGTTTCCACTGTTTTCTGTTTGCTTCTTTCAGTAGTGCATTGGGAAGTTATTTTTTTTGCATCATTTTGATTTACATAAATTATTTACATCAGTGAGCTTGTATTTTCAACTCTATTGCGCACGAAATACCCATAATGTGAAGGAGGACATTGTTTAAAAAGCGAATAATAGGCAAAATCTAATCGGTAGAATATATATTGGCAACTTCTTTGAAAAATTGGGGAGAAATAATTTTTCCCCCCTGGTGTACGGAAGTTTGCCAGGGGGTGGTGTACTCCAGGTCAAACGGAAGTGTGCCATATTCCACGCGTGACAACAATTCGCGTTTGTTTACTAGCTTCGAGGAAAACTTGATGCAATTCGTTTAAACTTTGACAATATTTTTGACACTTACCTATCGATGAAACGACCTTATTTCTCACGAGATATTTGTTGAGATATAGGCCTGTCATTATGAGGGTTTTTGGCGGCGAAGTTCAGTGTTCTTTAGGTAGAGAATTTGTTTCAAATATGGACCTCTAAGACGAACGCACGCGTACAAATATGGACAAGTGATAATTGTCTGAATTAAAACATGGCTGAAAATGATGACTATACAGACGCTCCGAATGCCGAAGAAGCTAAAAAGAATCCTGATGCTTTATTTGATGATTTTATTGCTGCTTCGAACTTCTTGGAGACCTTGGACGTTTTTAAGAAGCTGTGTTCGAGCGTGAATATAGACCAGACTGATTACCAAAACGTATTCCGACTCTTAAAAGAGCGACTTACAAGTTGGAAATGTCAAACTTTATGGAACAAATTGGACAAACGAGCCGAACTTCTGACTTACAAAAAGAAACCATGTGGGAAAAATAATGTCCTGGTTATAGGATGCGGGCCATGTGGTCTTCGCTTTGCTATTGAGGCGGCATTACTTGGAGCAAAAGTTGTCGTTTTGGAAAAGCGAAATAGCTTTTCCCGCAACAATGTATTGCATTTGTGGCCTTTTCTAATAGTCGACCTCAAAAATCTTGGCGCAAAGAAGTTTTTTGGTCGATTTTGCGCTGGTACTTTAGACCATATTAGTAAGTATAACATATTGAAGTAAAATTCTTATACCTTTTTTGAATATATCTGTATACTGATGCAAATTGAGACATCTAACGTTTGAACTCTGAATCCAGGTTTTAAAGTTTAAAAGCAGACGCAATTATTGATATGTTTACACTTCTCTTAGGGATATCACAGAGCTCGTATTTCAAACATAATTTAGATTTGCCTGCTGATTTGGGTAAATGTTTTGATATCAACAGTATGCTTGAGTAAAATGAAAATATGTTGAGAAATTTTAGAATATTGAAAATATTTCGGTATTGTTCCGCTATTTGAATGTTGAAATGCTAATGAAATGTGATATCAATCATAAATGCAATGATTTCAAATATGCTTGCGGAGTTAATTTGAATTCTTTTTAGGATAAGAGGAAATTAGTGCAAATGAGCTTTAGTAATACTTGTTTTGGGTAAAAAAATTGATCTCTGGCAGCAGGGGGTTGAAAATCAATGCCAACTAAAAAAGACGCTTATAGATATAATGTATTCAACCTAAACCTTTCATTTTTATCTATTTTTATCTAAACACAAGACCATATGGATAAAATGAAAGGAATGATCAAGTGCCTATCACCATCAGGAAGTGATAAGCTATTAAATTTCACATTATAGAATATCTGCTGCAGAATAGCAAAATGAAACCCCCCTTATTATTAATTAAGAGATAGAATGAAATATGTTTGGGAAATTCAAACATCACACATGTACGTTCTAGCAATGACAAAATAACACTTTGTCTCAGACAAGTTACTCTTGACAATGTTAAGAGTTTTTCTGGCAAGTTTTTTTTCTTCTAGACTTATATTAGGAGTCAAATGTAGTCAAGTATATAATAAGCAACTGACTAGTGTTTGAAATATCCATACAATATATCTACAAATCTAGTTTAGGTAGTGTTCAACATTAGGTTGTCATAGTTTATATTGAAGCAGCCCAAAAAGAAATGTGGTTTTTAGTGTAGGAAATATTGTAGTTTATGACCAGTCATGGTTTATCTTCTGTGTAAGATATGGAAAATTTAGGTTCCACCTCTAATTTTCCTGGGGCTAAATCCGGGAAGTTCTAGACTGATTGTCTTTGATTAAAGGTCTAAAACAGCCTGCGTTCACAGGTTCAACCAAAATTGTACTTGAACATTTTTACATTTGTTATTAGGTATCCGCAGACTACAACTAATTCTCTTGAAGGTTTCCTTAATTCTTGGTGTCCAAGTCCATGCAGAATGTATGTTTGTGAAACTGCGAGAGCCATCAGAAGGTCAGTTGATAATTGAATGTGTAACAAGCAAATAAAATTGATCTAGTATAGAAACAATCGAGCAAAGATGAAATATATTCAGCACACACTAAGGACGCTTCCCTTTATATGGTAAAAATTGCCAGACTGGTCCTGTTGTATTTTGGTACAGACAGATTACTGGTATTTTTTAGTGTTTCAAGAACTCTGCATTCGAGTATATTACTATTTACATCTGTCATCTGTCTAGCATGGGAAATGCAGTTTCACAGGTGATTCTTAAAGAAATACTTTATACTTTTATTTCAATTCAAAATATGACCAGTCTGACCATATTGGCTGCTAATAAAGGAAAGCGCCCTAAGCATCAAGCAAATTATCCTTACTTATATGGATGGTAATAACAATGGTAATGATGATCAAATTATGGTAATGGTCATATGGACCAATATACCTGTAGCATGTGTCCAATTTTTAAAAAATCTGATTACCCTCTCTGTAATTGTGGTGATCTCAGATATCAACACATACTTTATCTATTATACTGGTGCCAAACTTTCATAGTCATGCATTTAGATTCCTTTTAGAGCAGGCTAATTTCTTTAATGATACACAATAAAGATATTGGCTTGATTAATCAATATAAAGCACTTTTTTGATTGCGCAAACTATGATTTCCACATTTTTAAATATTATAATACAATTATAATATAATACAATATTTGGTACAATTAAATTACAAAGCAAAATGCCTATATAGCACTCAGCACAGATGCAGTGTTGGTTATGTAGATATATTTTTCAGCATCAAGGTTAAGCAGCTATGCTGTTAGTTTGATTTTTTTTTGTGAGAGAGGAGGAATTGATAGGACATAATTATAGGGTACATTTATGCTCCAATGCAATGTTTTAACAAATGTCCTTGAAAATGAATTGTGTGACCTTCTTTGTGTTGGAACAAGTGGTAGTTGAGAATGTTCAATTTGATTGAATATAGTAATAAGTTGTCTATATAAAATGACACTGGTCACCTAGGTTTAAAAATGCATTTTGGCATATGATCAAGACATAGAAATACCTAAACTTTTTCAAGTCAGACTAGTGGTGCTTGATAGAAAAAAGTGCTTGGAACACATTCTTCTTTAAGACCCTCTCTCGACCAACACTTCCCAACTTATTTCCATATGACTGTCCTCATTAAGAGAAAGCAATAACAAAAGAGAGAAACAAAGAACTTTTAAGAATAATGCATACTGATATCCTATGCACACAGATATTTCTGTGGTCATTATGAAGGGGAAAATTTTCTGCAGACTGCAGTACTGAATCGTTTTAAATTTCATTCGGAGATATTTCTGTTCCGAGGAAAGAAGCGCCGGGAAAATCTGGCATCTCTTCAGTTCCGGTCCGATGAAACTTCCGATGTGTGAATGAACAGAAGTTCTTCCGGATGAAATTTGAAATATTTTACTGCGCAAGCGGCCCGCGAAATATTTTTCATTCCGAGGAAATTTTTCCGGTGTGTGAATGCAGCTTACATGTACGAGGGCGGGGGATTGGGTTGAGCCTTTAGATGTCACCTAATAACAATGGCCCGATGGTTAGGGGTTAAGTTAAAAGAACCTTAAAAGTGATGGTGAATTTGTCAAAGAGTAGGTGAAAAAAGTAAAATCATTCTTTAAAAAGTGAAATTATGATTTTTCAGATCGAAGATGGACTGCAGAAGTGAAACCCGAGAACCATGTTGTGGGCAAATACGAGTTCGACGTGATCGTAGGAACAGATGGACGAAGACACACGTTGAAGGGATTCAAACGAAAAGAATTTCGAGGCAAGCTCGCAATCGCGATAACCATGAACTTTGTGAATCGTAACTCGAAGGCTGAGGCGAGGGTCGAGGAGATCAGTGGAGTTGCGTTCATTTTCAATCAAGGTTTCTTTCAGGACTTAAAGGATTCAACAGGGATAGATTTAGAGAACATTGTGTATTATAAAGACGAGACACATTATTTTGTTATGACTGCAAAGAAGAAAAGTTTACTTCTCAAGGGAGTCTTGAAAAAGGTAATAGAAATAATAAGACATTTTGCGAGCAGACCCGGATCAATAGAGGCACAGTTTTTACTGTTTAGGCAAATGAATCCAACTTGACATCGAAACTCCGTATGGCAATAAATCATGTGTTATTGTATTTTCTTGATAAGTTCATTTAACGACAGACTCAGGGCCTTTTTTAACTATATAACTGGGCGAACGCCCCCCCTCACCTCGTCATTCAGCCTCCCCCCCCCACTGACGGATTTTGACATGTTGAAACAATTTTTTTCTTGACGGGCTCCATTGTAAGCATGGTTTATATATATATATATATATATATATATATATATATATATATATATATATATATATATATATCCAAATAATTGACTGTGACAAAAAGATCACAGAACTTGACAATGGTTGGAGAGCGCTCAATACCATTACTGGCAGAGCGATAATATATATTTATTGAAAGACTAGCTTAGCTACTGAGAAACTCCGAGTAGCTAAGCTAGTCTTTCAATAAATATATATATATTATTATATTATATAAATATTATATTATATATATATATATATATATATATATATTTTAACATTTTTAAACGTTGATCTCTTTATCTTGAACAGGATCTCGCAGACCCACGAGACCTTTTGGCTGAGCGTAACGTGAATCGGGAGCAGCTCCTCAACTATGCACGGGAGGCCGCCGACTTCTGTACAGCAAAACAACTTCCTCATCTCGACTTCGCCATGACGCCACAAAAATCTGAAGACATAGCGATGTTTGATTTCACGTCCATGTACGCCGCTGAAAATGCTGCGATGATTTTCGAGAAGAAAGGACATCGTTTGTTGACCTGTTTGGCCGGCGATAGCCTGATGGAGGTATGATTTTTGAGTTTCAAAACGAAGTACCTCCAACGATCTTCAGCGAAGTAGATACTATGTCTAAGGCAGCTTAGCTAGGCTGTTTATTTGTATCCGCAAACTTTCTAAAATATGTTACAGTTACAAAGGCAGTGATCCAGTGTGTGTGGGATGGTCCGGTACAATTCCGTCATTTTGTTATCCCCTAAAATCGTGGTTTACACAGGGATTTATATTCTTCGACCTTTTTGATTCTTCTCTCCTTAGCCGGACTTTAGCTTTGATTTCCTCCTTGAATATTTGCTCCTGATTTTCCTTTTTTTTCTTCCACTATTTTTCTTCAACCTTTTCAACCCCCCTCTCATATTCTATTCTTTAAGACCCTCTGACACATTCTCTTGCCCAATAGGGGGGGGGGGGTCATAGAAGAATACACCTTCTATGTTTGTATCTGTACAACCTAGAAAGAGCAAATGAAACATATTGGACTGTTATTCAACAAAGAGCTGCAATTAGTACCAGTAGTTGACGTCCATTTGTATTTCTTTAGCCGTTTTGGCCCACTGGGTCTGGTTGCGCCAGAGGCTTTTTGTCCGTGTTTGATGCCGCATGGATGATGAGAGGCTGGGGCCTAGGACACCGTCCAATAGATCTCATTATGGAACGAGAAGGTGTTTACAAACTTCTTGCACAAACAACTGCTGACAACGTATCGAAGAAGTTTGATGATTATACAATTGATCCCAAGTCTCGCTATCCTCCCGCAAGTGTGAGGAAGGCACCCAAAGATTCTGTCAAGCATTTGTACAAAGTCGTCCAGAACTCGTTGGAGGAGAGTTTGATTGAAGAAATACAACCAGATAATATGGAAACTGAACAGGTTATGAACATTAAGAATAAAGGTTAGTTTCAGAAATATCATGAATTTCTTGGCATACAGGGTGTGTTGCAATATCGTGTTGGTAAAAAACTTACATACATGCTTCAGGACTGGAGCCAGCTTATGGTTGATAAGATTTAACGCATGTGATTATCCGGCAACTTCATGCCAAGGGTATATTGCCCCCATAGTGAAGACCATAAAACATATGCAGTGGTGGAACCGTGGAAGCTGTGCTAATACGTCGTCGAAATTGGCCCCGTAATTTGCTGGTCACCTGACACCCAATATGATGGGCGTTTTGATACAATGCATTTTGATCTAGTTATATTTGACGATTAGCTTGTTTATAAAGCCCTTTTTTTTACAATTTTCCTTTTAACTGCAGTAGCTAGCAGTATAAGCAGCAAAGCGTCGTTGTAATAATACTGAATCAAGAAACGATCCTCCTACTTGGCTAAATCAATAAAGAATCACCTAAAAATAATTCACAGATGCCCTCAAATTCAGGGCAAGAATTGTCTAGAAGTGATCTTAAGTGATGTTAGATGAAATGTTAGTTTTGTTTGGTAAAGTACTGCAAATGTTTTACTCTAGTGAGTCCTGATCTGTTGCTCTCCTGGTGTCAGAAACACACGAAAGGATATAAAAATGTAGACGTCAAAAACATGTCATCATCTTGGAAAAGTGGTTTGGGATTTTGTGCTCTTATTCATAAGTTCCGGCCTGACTTGATGTAAGCTCGCTTGTTTGTCACTACGATATCTACTGATATGTTTCAGTAGATCTTTTGGTTTGGTTCAAAAGAAATTAATGGAAGTTACTCCTGATTGATACGTTCCATACCTCACAATCCCACGACTCTTATCAATACAAATATACAATAGCACGTCATTATACTTGTCATTTATGTTCGTCATCATATTTTCAAAATTTTGCCATTCATTAGGATAATTTAGTTATGATGTGAGAACTTTATCGTTGAAATTTCAATATTGCTTTGTCTTTCAAGTGATTTTGAACGACTTAACGAGGATGATGTCGAGAAGAACAATGAATTGGTAAGAGAACTTTAGATTCCAATTAGACCAAAAACCACACCATGGTTGCAAGTAGGAATTCATCGAGATTCGTCTTGAGCACCAAGTTACCTTGCTTAGTGCTTATACAACAGGGTGTGGCCCTTCACTTGATAAAACTATTTCAGGAACAGGTCGCCGCGATGTTCCAAGATCGTCCAAGTAGCCCAAAGATATATATTTGTTTGGGATGGAAATTGCCTGGGCAATGTCGGATGAACAGCCCACAGCATATATCCGCTGTTGCAGGACGACAAGTGGCAGAACAACATAAAAGTAAAAATATATTATCTTTTTTTCGCAGGCGTTTAGTGTAGCGGAGAATGAGTTAGGAATACCGCCACAGATCTCAGCTGAAGAAATGGCAAATAATGCAAGGACAGATATGCTCACTATTGTAACCTATCTTGCTCAATATTACGAGACTTTCAAAGACGAAAAACCTGGTAAGAAAATTGAATAGTTAAGAAAATTGAACTGATTGGTACCACGGTATTCTGTGGCCTGATAATAAACTCATATGTAGTGAGTACAGCACATAACATTAGGCCAGTAAAAGAATAGCCTCCTTCGCAGTTTTCTTAGAACGATGAATGTGACATTAGATCAACAAGGAATGACTCTAACTTGACTACTAGAAAAACAGTTTTGAGTAAACCTTTCGAACTTAAAGAGCTAAATGTCACGTTTATAAAAAGATATGTTTCTTTGCAAGGTCATTAAGAAATATAACAATCTTCTCGACTTTCGAAGAGGACAGTTTAGAACTGATAGAAACCGATAGAGCTATCCAGTGTAACCAAAAAGCCTCTTTGAAGCAGATTAACAGAACAACCTTCTAGACCAACAATGGGGTCAGTTTAGAATTGATCTTTACGTTTTGTCTTTGTTTCCTGTTAGTTCCACCACGAAGCAGCGCGTCCAGTGACGAGGTCACATCGCCTGAAAACAAACATAAATCACCGTTATCCAAACTGTCCTACATTTCAAGATTGAGCATGAGAAATAAAAAGGTTAGTTGCTTTCTCTCTATAAACGAACTTGCGACAAGCACCAAATCGCGTGTACTGGTAACTGGGACCTGGGAAAACCTTTGGGATCTAAACTAAATCAGTGAAGTTTCATTACGTGTTATCGACCACTTCCATTCAATTCCATTACTTGCCTTCAAATACAAATTAGTCTACTGTGTGTACGCAAGCAAATACTTTAAAGTTCGTCACCAATTGCCGCACAATACTGTCCAGTGCTATCTTTTCTGGTACATCTTTTCTGGTACATCTTATAGTACGCTTGACAAAACCTTGTCGATATTACGTCTTTGAAATAACTGCCTACAATTTGCTATGCTTTGAAGCTCTTCGCATTGACCATTGAATCGTTTAATTCCTATATAAATATTCTTATTTACCCTACACCATTTAATTTGCAAAAAACACTAGTAAGCTCAGATATCAGGTTAGGCATAAACAACCTCTTAGTCACAGGGAGCTTTTGTCAAGAAGACTGAAGGCAGAGGAGGGTATAATATATAATATTATGTATATTATTTAGTCTGTGAGTCCTGAGCGTCACGTCAGTAGGGGTTCACGAGTGGAGAGTATAACGCGAAAGTTGAAAGAAAGACAAAATAATGATCGCCTAGTTTCACGATCTTATACCCTGAAACACCGGCGCACATGTAGTACGAACGATTTAAGGGAGACGAGAGGACGTTTTGAGCATGACAGAAACGACTTGACGCGTAGGAACGACCGTATTGCGCATGACAGAACTACAGACATGTTAACCGAGGGATTGAGTGAGACAAAGTTACCAAAACGGACCATTCCCCAAGTTGTTGCGAGACTTGTTGCGAGGTCATTGCTCATCGGTTACTGGTGGTTGTTGCTAATGTTGTGGTGGATAGTAACCCTGTTACCACGTTGTGTTGTTTTTGTTTTCGTCAAGGATAAGCGTAAGCACAAGGAAGAGGTGCCATCGGAAAAATCAAGCAAGAAATATAAAGTGTCTGATGAGAGCAAGGTTAGAATGAAAATTTTATTGCGCATGTCTTTCACGTTCGCAAGAAAGGTTTTCTAGAGGGAGGGGAGGGGGTGCTCGGTTTCCATGAAACCCAGCAAGTCACTGTTTAGCAGAATGCCGCCTTCCTAATATATAGGTATAGGTGTAGATCTTTTCATTGAACTCCCCTAGGTAGGTATAGATCTTTTTAATGAACTCCCCTACAGTCTTGATGACCAAGGTCTACAGGTAAAGGGCAAGTGGGCTAAGTTACGACGAATTGGCCTTCGTATTGCCCCCTTGTATTTCCTTTAAAATCAATTTAGTATTGACAGAAATATCTGGCATAGATTAACTAGCTAAATATAGCTACCCATTACAGTCACGCTGGATCCATGCAGGAGGGGCAGATTGATATAGATATCCATTATTGATAGCGTAGCTTAAGAAAGTCCTTGAGGACTGTCCTCGCTCCACTTCCATGAACTGTGGGGACTCTTAATCAATGAAACCTGGTACATAAATTGTCCTGGGAGATTAAACCTTGCTACTGCATGTCCTGCATGTGTCTATATATAGTCTAACTGTGGACATGTACTAGGTTTAAAAATTTTATCATATTGGCTTTTAAGGCAAAGCACGGAGGAAAGGATGTTTCATTAACTTCTTATAAGAAAGGTAACAACAATACTGGCGAGGCGGGAAAGATGCAGATATCGGATAGTGCCAACAATAAACCAAGCAGCCGGATCAGTGCTTTAGCTGAGCAAGTGTTTGGAGCGCCAGCCGATAAAACTCAGCAGATTAAATCAACAGCAGGAGCACCTGTAAGTAGTAGATTGTTCTAGTTTCTACTTTCTTAACTGAACAGTATCTATATACCATAGATAACTCATTCAGTTCACTCTAATGGTCCACAAAAAGCCATTTTGTCCGAGGAAACCTAAACTGAAGTATCTTTCATATCAACAGCTTGGTATAGGACTGGATAAATAAAGATTGAACCTAGCATAGATCTTATCGATAATACGTTTGCGACTGATAGAGCTGCCCCTGCAAGATAAATATACAGATTTATTTTTCTCTAATGAGGTTTCAGAAATTTTAGTAATATAAAAAATCCGAAGAATAAAGTTATTAAAGATATGAATTAAAACAAAGGGAAATATATATGAGATTCGGTGTGGTAGACAGTCATCGTCAGATACTTGACACATAAGATGAACATAATACATGCGAAAAACAAGAGAGCATAACTGCATAAGTACAATTATTGTACAATTATTTAGGATATGTTGGTAATAATTCAACCCTGAGATGCCGGTAAGAATGAATTCAACGGAAAAGAGTTTTTTACTGCCTTTGACTTTTGAGTCCAGAGTTTAGTTCATGTATATAAAGTATTATGTTTCATTGTGTTTTCATTACACAAAGTATTATGTTTCATGATTTTGTGATAAAGTGGAAACTTTACGCCCATATCAGGGGGGAATAGAAAGCGGGGCGGGAGGCGCTTTTTTCTTTGTTGGCGGATTAAATCACTAAATAATTAACCTGCAGCAATAAGCATTTTAAAACATGGACATTGAAGGGAAGGGGGCAACCCCTAACCTGATGTAGAATTCTAACCAGGGGGAGGGAGTCCCCCCGCTTCCCTTTCCAATACACCGCAGGACTTTATCCAAAACGGAAGAATGTATGTTTTTCAAGGTTCGTCATGCTCGTGGTACACTTGGTAACAGCGAACATTGTCATTTCTGCAATGAACGGATATTTGTCTTCGAAAGACTCTCGGCTGAAGGATTCTTCTTTCATCGCAAGTGCTTCAAATGTGAACATTGTGAGGTGACTCTACGACTGGGTAATTATGGTTATGTCCCGCCACAAGATAGTCAGCAAGGAAAATTCTATTGTAAACAGCATTATCGTAAAGTATTTTATGAAACGCCTGAAAAATCGACTGAGGACAAAGAAAACCAAGGTACTGTGTTAAGTTTACTTTGATTTAAACACTCGATTTCTTTCACATCTATGACTTCCAAGCTTTTTCTTTTTTTGCTTGATTTTCCATCTCTGATTATAAGGTCAATTGAAGATGAATCTTTTCCTATAAAAAATATGCTTTTGACCTAACAGCTTTACTATATAGATAAAAACAGTTTTGTTAGAGAGGACATCTGGTATAATTTGTATTAGAAAGAAGTTTAGATTAAGATTATCGTAGGACATCGCAGGGGGACGTATATCAAAACTGATATGCAAGAGGCGACATGACTAAGGGTCTGTTCATATGATGGCTCGCTGCTTTTGCTGGCCCGCTTGATGTTTTCATATGAGCCCGTTAAAGGCGAGATCTCGCTTCGTTCAGGCGGGCCTGGCTCCATATGAATGCAATTTTACAAATATGGTGAAAGAATATGTAAAGCAAGATCTCGGCAGTTCCGAGCTAGCTCGGCCCGTCTCATGTAAACAGCGGGCCCTAGTTGAGAAGCTGTATCCTGGTGGGATGAAGTCGGCCCAAAGGTTTTGGTTTTTAGTTGCTGTAATAAGAATAAGTCAATTAAAGAGAACTCCGAAGAAGAAAATTCAAGGACTGATAGAGTTATACGGTTTTTAAAACTATTTTAAAACTGATAAGTTATTGGTAAAATTACAAATTAGGCGCATTCCTTTATTTAAACTGGATTAACAAGAAACATTACTGAACGAATTTCCTTTTCTACCAGATGTTCAACCCGTGGAGCAAAAAACACGTCGGTCTCATTCGATTGGAGTCTTTGATATGAGCATGCGTCAGAAAATCGAAAAACCGATTGACTTAGAGACGGCAGATGTACGATCACCCCCCCGAAAAGTACTCAAAGTTCCAAAGAACCTGAAGGATCAGATAAACGGTCGTGGAACTCCCCAGAGCAGCACTCCATCCAGTGAACATAATGTATCAGTGTCGCCGTATGAGATCATCTCGCTTAGCAGGTGTGTGACCAAGACAATTAAAGCAAAGAGACTTTTATTTAGCTAAAAAAGAAAAAGAAAATTAATCACTAGGCCGATATATAACCACCTAGGAAAAACCGTTTTTGGCTTGAGGAAGGCATGTTTATCGCATATCACTGTTAGCCTTCCAGTTCTATATAGAGTTCAGCGACAGGATTCAGTATTTACTCGTTCGCATAAGACTTGCAAGTGACTTGTGTGTTAACTTGCATTTATTCTCTGCTCACTTTTGGTTGACTCGAACCAGTTGCACCACAGTGTTTAAAGAAAGCTAACCGAGGTTGTCGATTTGTCTTGTATTAGTTATTTACTGTTTTATCTAATCCTTCGTAGATTTCAGTTGCGTTACAGGGTTTTCCCAGCATGGATGTAAAATCGAATATTTATTAGCTATATAACAAGTATTCTCGTTTTCTAGTGTTGAGAAATTGTCGGATAAGGAAGATGAAGAGGTCGGAAAGCAGTCGGAAGTAAGCGTAAAGCCTTCGGGAACGCCTATCTCTCGAGGCAGTGCCAGTCGGAAAGCTCATAGATATTCAAAACTAGAAGCCAGGCCTCTAAGGCGTTCCAGTGTTAGCGCGGTCAGGAAATCAGATAGAGGTACCAGGAGACTATTCTTACATAAGCGTAAACCCGAGGAGAAAAAGGAAACGAAGAAAGAAACTGGGCACAAGATTGTTGCCTCGCCCGAAGCACCACCGAAACCACCGCGGGCTCATCAAGTTCAAGATGCCAGGGAGGATAAAAAACCTGACGCTGTTGAGGAAAGTGGAGAAGGTATGGGTACAGTATTGTTATTATCATCATCACCCCCCTGACCCCTGATGTATGTTCCTTTGTAATGAACAAGATCTATGTACATAAAATCTCTAGGAAAGTAAAAATAGCAGAATTTCTGACTCTCTATCAGTACTTGTTTCTCAGTCTATTGTGCGTATAGTTGTACCCCATTTTGATAGTTGACTTCGGCACACTCGCTGTTCGTCGAGGTGCCCCCGTGTTTAACAGTGCTTCCCCCCACACCTCCCCTTCACCTTTCTGATGTTTCAGCAGCGCTTTTTGCAGGGTTGAATAAGATTAAGTGTAACATTTCAGGTAAACGTCGACGAAACTCCAAACGTGCAAAGTACCCAGAATCAATGGCCTTCTCGGATCAGTTCTTGATCACAAAGGCAGTCGAAATGCCGCCTGACAGCAGCGGCAGCCCTGGAAACCAAGAGAACGTAACATCTGATCTTAGAGCATGTCTTGGCGAAGCTACTCCGAGACGCATCGGCCGACAATCGGCCGGGCGACGACGAAATGCAGACCCGAAGAAACATTGGTCTGCGTATTATAGAGCAGCCATGACTGATGATTCATTTGACGAAGGTATGAGCCAATATCGTATGTATATCCTCATCACTTGGGAAGAAGTTAGGAACTTATTAATAAGGTCTCAGGAATAAATCAGACAAACTCCCCGCCCCCCCTTTTGTAATCTGACTTTTGAAAAACATTCTATATGTATCACGGATAAATACGTTCGAATATAACTATGTAGCAGCGTTGCAAAGCGTCTTCAAACAACTGCCTAAACACTTCTCGACGTTTCCACCTGAGGGCCTTAGGGCGAAACATCGAGAAATGTTTTAGGCAGTTGTTATACCACAATTAAAGCGACGTTGCCGCTGATAGAGCTATCTTGTATCAATGGTTTTAGATTAAGGCTTTTTGTTATAGCAACACCGTGTTTATCACAAACTATAAAGCTAACCAGTACCAAAAGGTTAGCGTTTCCCGTTATGTCATTACTGGGTCGCTAGAGCCTTACTATACCTCCAGGAGGAGCAATATGGAACTAAACTGAACCGCGAGGGTACTCTATAAGACTCAGTGACTCACTGCAGGCAATATTTTCTTTCTTCAGACACAAGACCTAAGTCACAACCCGAGCCACTAGAACCATTCGAGCTCCCTACTGAACCTGTGCCTGAAACTGTTCCTGAACCTGGTCATGAGCCACCCCAAATGCCTCTCCCTACCCTCCACGAAGACCGTGTGCTGTCCCCAACCTCCCCCAAGAGACACCTTTGGTCCAATCTCTTTGGTGGACATCACAAAAAAGACAAGAAAAGCAAGGAGGAGAAGAGAAGATTGAAAGAGGAACATAGGAAAGAAAAGAAAGAGAAGAAACGAAGAAAGAAGGAAAAGAAACCCAAAAGCGACACTGATGGCGTTCAGTCACCAGACGCTGCCCTCAGCGATGCGGGTTAGTAATGAATTTACGATTTGGCCGGCAATGGACACTTCACGATTGACGTTAACGGCTAATTAATGATTTCATGATTTTAAGATGTTTTAGGAAAAGCAGTTTACAATAAGATAGACCTCTGTCGAGGTTAGGTCTATCCAACCTAATGTATACATGTATATTAAATCCCTTTGTAGATGATGTGAGATCTCCAGATTTGTCAGATGTGTGTTCTCCTGAAAGTAATTACGAATCCAGCGAGGAGGAAGAAGAACTTCCCGAAGCAGTCCGCCTCCGAAAGGGGGAAAAAAAGACGATTCCAGGTTTGTATTTGTCTAATATAATTTGGTATCGATTAAACGGAGTGTGTTCACTTAATTAACTGCAGGTAAAAACCTAGTTCAACTAGAGCATGATATTTTGGGGGTGGTTTTGACACCTAAGTTCCAAGTCGTACCCCTAAATTCATTCCGATAGATCGTGCCCCATGGAGTTATAAACAGAAGATGTCATATTACAATATGATAACCAGTTCAGAAAAACGATAGAAATTAGCATATATAGTACTTATTAAAACGAGAGATTAAAATCATCTTATAACCATTTCTTGACTGACGTAGTTTCGTTCAACCCGAGAAGGTTTGATCAAGGAAGGTTTCCGTTATTGCTCAAGTGGGAACATGATTTCTCTGTGACACCGCAGGAATTGATGCTTATAAAATTTAGCTGGAAATACTCACTGGTTCACATTTGTGGATTTCTCTTTTGCTCTCAATGAAAATACTACGGAATAAGTTAAAACAAGTTCAAATTTCCTTCTGACTGCGTACTTTGTAATCTTTTGAAAGCTCTTAAAAAACTTTTGGCGGCTGTTAAATGGCCATTTTGAGACTAAAATATATACACAAGGCTATTAATTAAGACAATTTGTTTTTAATACCATGTGCAAGCTTCAAATCTTTTGTGTAAGTCATATTTTGTTTAGCATTTATAAATCATTTTGTTCACCAAATTAGAAGTCTAAGTATGAAGGATTGCTGCGAAGTCTCTATAAACGCAAACCAATTTCCGCGGTGTCTGACATGTAGTAAATACGAGCGAGCTTCTAGGATACAGGAGATGCAAACTGTCAAGCCTTCCTCGTCTTAGTGTTGTCTCTTTTGTTTCAGCTCGCGGAGAAAGAACGTGATTTAAAACGACAAAAGAAAAATCAGGAGTTCCACATAATGTTGGAAATGAGGGAGAGGAAACGAAAGAGACTGAGGATTGCTCAGTCAATACAGCGAGAGCTTGGAGAATGTGAAGTCAGGCAAATGGAACTAGAGGAACGTGGTATTTCGGTAGAGATGAAGATGGCACAGGTGGAATCTGAATCTGGTAAGTGACGAATTGTAGCTGATTTCGCAATCTATCTCAACGGGATTATCATTATTATACCATCACAACTGTTAATATTAGTCCATGTTCACATTACGTTCGGCAATCATACTATGCCACTGATGTAATAGACTATGCATGTGCGCAGACTACATTGTTACCATGTGCATGACTGTCACTACTTTTTAATACTATTTTCACTGTAGTCATATCACTATAGTAAACACAACAACCATCATCACCACCGCTATTCTCACCAAACGTACTACTACCATCATTACCATTATCTTAACATAAGATACATTTTGTATTCTCGTAAGGTAACGAAACGGACGAACGTAAACTAGTCTTGGAATGGTTTGATTTGGTCAACAGGAAGAATACTTTAGTCCGATATGAATCAGAGCTGGTTATAAGGTAAGTTTTTACTTTTTCTTGAAAAGAGATCGCAGTAATAACATCGGATGCAATATCCAGTTGAATAGAAAATGATTATCCTGTGCATCGCTAAAATTTTTCTCATGTGGAACACAGTTACAGAATACATATTTTCATTCTTTACGCTTTGAGATATTTGCGAACTTCTGCTAGCAAATAGAGTTTCTACCATCTTGCATATATTCTACCATCTTGGATTTCACAATTGTGACTATACTCAAATTTCACAATTGTGACTATTCTCAAATTTCACAATTGTGACTATTCTCAAATTTTACAATTGTGACTATTCTCAAATTTCACAATTGTGACTATTCTCAAATTTCACAATTGTGACTATTCTCAAATTTCACAATTGTGACTATTCTAACTAAATACGGGCTGAAGATTTCAAATGGTATCATGGCTACCAATTGTGATCTTTATGAATGCCAAATATTTTGCGGATCAGATCAATTAAAACAAAATACCGCTAAGCGTTGTTTTGTGTTCGGGGGTATCTCAAAATACGAAAGTTTCTAATGAATATATGTAAAATAGTTTTTTAACTGTTGAAATTTCTGAAAAAGAAGTTTTGAAGGAAATTTGGATTTTAATTCTCTGGACAGACATCCGGGGGTGCGATTGCCGCTGTCGAAGTGTGCGATCCTTGAAAGTCTTTTAGGTGTTGGTCTATGAGAGGTACTTAAAATTCCACAAATTCATTTTAAAGAAAGTTCTTGATTAAAAGGTTAGGTAGATCGATTTCAAAATATTGTTAAAAATTAACTTGTTATATAACCGTACAAATAACCGTACTTTGAACCACCTTTATTAATTTTATCTGAAAAATCTTTGAAAAGTCTTTGAAGAGTGAGCACACATCCGGTAAAAAGACCCAGATAGATCCGGGGCTTTCCGGGTCAATTCACTCTAAATCAATTAAATGCGATTCGGTCCGACTAACCAATCGCAAGCGCAGCACGCCAGAAGGTCAGCGAATTGTAGCGGTCGGATGTGGTGAGAGTTATATCTGGGGCATGTGAAAGACTTGTTCCGACGTCACACCCAAATAGAGAAAGCGGGCTTTTCATTGAATATTTTAAAGCAATCTTTTTCTCTATGCCATCAGCTCATCGGAATGTTCCATTGACGTAAAGGGATGTCTTACAAAAACACCCTTTTATTAATTCAGTTCCTACTTGCCCACCTGTTCGTAAGTGTAAGACTACATATTTGTACATTAGCCAATATATCAAACTTAGCACGCATCAAATCTTGGTTTGAAGCCAATTTTGCACCTTTTCGATGTCATGTATAACCGCTGAACCTCGATGTATATAACCTTATTCCTAATCATGAACCCACGATTGCAAATAATCTCCCATGGCCGTATGCCAATACGTACCACGCGAATATTAAAGGAGGAAATCTAAAAACTTGGTGTCTAAAAACTTGACAAATGGCTTGACTTGGCGGAAATCTAAAAACTTGACAAATTAATATATTTGCATTACCGTATGCCAATACGTAGCACGCGAGTATTAAAGGCGGAAACCTAAAAACTTGGCATCGCAAATTATATACGTCATATGATTTGTTAAATTATTAAATCTACACACTTAAATGAATACTCGTAGGCTGTTACTATATATAAAACGTCGCATACACTTCTGAGTTGAGGCCATATTCTCGCTCTGTTCTTTGACTGTTCATTAGCGTTTTCTGGTAAGACATCAGACATAATAACGAAAGTGGCTTTGTGTATAGCGATTGAAAGATGATATCGTGGCGTTTTTCGATCCTGATTTCCTTGGTCTTCTGTTCGAAGGCAGTGTTTTCCTGTTATAGCGATTCAGAGTGCTTGAGCTATGAAACTTGTTGCAGTGACAATAATTGTCGTTCTGATTGTTCATCTTCACGTAGTAATGATGGACTGAGTTCCGTAATCGTAATTATCATCGTCATCTTCGTCGTTGTTTTCAAAATCGTATTCTGGGTGGCGATTTGTTATTGTCGTCGAAGACGATCGTATGGTGGCATTACGTTCACTCGGTTTGGCAATGCCCCGACGACTGTCGTAGTGAATTCATCGAACACCCAAATGCACGCTACGAATCCTGTTCAACAAGGTTATACCCCACCACAACAGATATATACCTCTCCTCAACAACAAGGTTATAACCTCCCTCAACAAGGTTACAAGCCGTCACAACAAGGTCATGTAATGGTTAACCCAGTCAGCAATCCTCCTCCACCGTACATTGACAACCGTCAATCTTGAATTTACACTCCTGATCTAGTTCTATCCTACTCCAGTTAGACTTTAAGGTGGTCCACTACAGAAAAAAATTTTTCTTTAATTTTGAAAAATATAAAAATCTGTTCATGCCATATTGCAAGCCAAGTTGCTCTGAGTGAAGAAAGAGTTGCAGAAATCTTCAATCACTATAGTTACCCAGACCAGACACTGGGTGTGTCAATGGTGGAAAAAAGGCGATTTTTGCAAACACGATACTGACAAACTGGGTTTTAACTCTAGAACGACAGAATTGGTTTTATTTAGTTCTAAATATTGTGGCGTCGGAGCTGAACTAGAATAAATAAAACTTGTCCATTATTAAACGTTTTGCAGTCTATAAATATAAAACTTCTGCGATCTATCTGAAAATAACGTTAACCAGTCCCTATTTTACTTAGACTGAACAGAATACAAAACTTTTAGTTCACCCCCGAGCCAATTGTCTTTAAAGTCAACCATGAAAACTTTAACATCAAGTTAGCTTTATTACTTTTTGAGTTATCGTGCACGAAAGTGCAGGGAAGTAAGGGGAATGAGGATTTTAGTTTGCCAAGAAAAGCGACGAAAAAAGTTTTGCATACACAGCAAAATTTGTCATTCTTGAATCAAGAAAAAAAATGCTTGCTTTGAGCAAAATTTTGCTCAAAGCAAGCAAATACATTCTTGTCCGTATAGTAAGAATATTATTCTTGCATAGAAAAATATTCTTGTTTCAAGAATAATATTCTTGGCAAGAATATTTGTTCTTGATACAAGAATATTTTCTTGATACAAGAACATTTGTTCTTGCGAGAATAACCCTAGAATGCAAGAACATTTTTACTTGTTACAAGAACATATTTCCTAAATTAAGAACAATGAGAAATACATATTCTTAAAATAAGTATAAAGGTTAAGATTATATTCTCAATTTAAGAACGGTTTTCTTGGGGGCAGGTGCGCTGATACAGAAAACAACACTTTTTTAATTCAAGGTTATTGTAGTTCTATTTAAAATTTATTAATACATTCGGTATGCTAAAAGCCCCAGAAAACAAAAACAATACTACACTAATACGAAAGGCCAGAAAGTAAATTACCCAAAGTACATGCATGCAAGTTTCATTTAAACTATAGGGTCCAGGGGGCAGTTGTACGAAAGGCGGATAGAGCTATCCACCGGATAGTGGTTTTTTTCAACCCTTTTAAACATGCCTAAAAGGCAATGAAATAAAATATTTGGAGCCGACAAAAAGAGGTCCCCTAACTTAAGATTACTAAGCTTTAATCTAGATTATGCCAAACAACGAGCAATTTTAGAGCGAATGAAAAAAACACTATCCGGTGGATAGCGCTATCCGCCTTCGTCGTACAACCGGCCTCAGGCACTCAATTCTACATTGTACTATTCAAATCATAACTAAAAAGGCCAGAGGGCTTAAGCATTCCGTTAGAAATGGCAAACGACAGGGGGAAATATGAGGCAATGATGGGAATCGTGATCTGTTCGAAGTGAATTGTATAATGATTCCTTTGAGGCCGGAATGAAAATAGGATGCGAAGGAATGCCGTCCAAATTTTAAGTAAAAATCAACTCAGCCTAGATGTCTTCAAATGCGAAGCTTAAGCCCTCTATTTCTATATTATCAACATTTAAAAATCATCAGATGAGTTCTGTTTGAACTCTAGATAGTCCTGTTTTGCAGACTCAAATGAGTTATATAGGTCTGCAGGGGTGTTCATGTCTTTAAATAACAAATTAAAACATACCATAATTGGAGTAAGTACTCTGTGGGGTTGCCTGTCGCTTGCGACCAAGTTTATAAATAAATTGTGGAGCATCGTGAGACCTAGCTCATGGGATTTTGGATAATCCACATCAATAACATAAAACAGTCCAATTAATGCAAGGACTGCTCTCATGAGACTCTTCAATGCCACAGTAAAGATTAGCGTACCTTGGCATATCAGGTAGGCTGATGTTTTATCAAGACACAGCAAAGGCATACTCTTACCCTGTCGCCGGCTGCACACTGCTTCTGGATCCTCATGATCCTACATTGAAAAACACAATTTTGCATGAAACATTTTCATCATAAGCACTGGCTGAGTGGCTGTGTAGTATGACAATAATTAGTTATCTTACTTCTTTATCAAAGTAACAATTACCTTAATCAAATAAATAAGGTCAATGAGCTTCTTGGCAGATTTATTCAGCTTTCCACTTCCAAACAACAAGTGCACGTTCTTCATAAGATGAACAACTTTGGCAACTATAACAATCAACATTTTTATTTTTGTCATTATGCGCAATAGGAAATGAACAATGCATTCAGCAGACACGGCACAACTTTTCAGATATGTTACATATATAAGAAATGCAGAATGACAGATTTTTAAATTTCTATACTTACCCTTTCCAGCTTCTGTAAGGCCCTTATCATCTGTTGATGATGATGATGATGATGATAAAGTATCATCCCCTGACAAGTCAACATGATCATCCACACAGACTACCATATCAATATTTCTCTTTTCAACCAAAGCCTTTGTTGTTGGATTAGAGTTATCAGTTGGTGTTGCCTTCTCAGTTTCCTAATAATGCAAAGTATATTAAATAATTATATAGTTTAGTCTAAAATAATATTCTCTGTCGACTCTCACTTGAAACTAAATACTTGATCATTTTAAAAGATTGTACTAAGAAACATTATTTTATACCTGAGATATTACTTTCCAGATGCGTGACCGCAGTAAAATCAATTTCATGCCATCGCCTGGAATAATTTCCTTTAATGCATCATAACACAGTTCCTTAAGATCATCATTTGTGAGGCCAACCACTGAAAATAATATACAGGTTAGAAAATATAATATGAATGAAACCTGCATTGATGTATTCCATATGGGTACAATTAAAAAATATCAGGCCAATAGTGCATTATGTTAAAGATCTGTTAGAGTGTACATTTTAGAATATAGAACTGTATAAAATATTGTTTATTCTTGTTCTTTTAAAGTCCAATAATGGATTAAGTAACATAACACAAGGTACATGTATCTATATGACTATATGACATTAACTGTGTAGAGGCAGGTTAGCCTGGTATTCTATATATAATTGTTCCAAACTATTCTCTATTTTTATATTCAAAAAATCCCGCCCCTCCAAACATGACAGGGGACCCCCGAATATTAAAAAATGAAGTGCTTTTATAAATTAAAAAATATAGCTTAATCAAAAAGTCTCAGCATTGTTCCATTTTCATTTATAATACCTTAGTTTATACACTCGATCGCAGATAATATACTTTACCTGTCAATTCGTAATAGTACGAAGCAAGTAAGGTGAAAAAACTGAAGGATTGACGGTATTAATTTATATTCGTTACCGCGGCAAATTTAAATTTGCATCGCGTTCCCGAATTCAAACATATGTATGCGACGACAATTCTTAATTATTATGACATAAAATAAGAACATATACTTACCTATTAAACTATCTGCGACGTCTTGATCAATCTCGGCGATTTTTTCGAGTAAATCTTTCGACATTTTCGTATTTTCTTGCGATAACAAACGTTGGACACCTTCACCTTTGTCGAGCGCGCTAGTAACATGAGAAGTGCGCCGCCGCACCGCCTGACCAGCGAACTCTAGTCCCAAAATGCTTTGCAGGGAGAATTTTATATTTTTGAAGTTCTCTGTGATTTTACAATTTTATAGTGAGGAATTATCCGTTCAGAATATGCTTTTAAAATGAAAAGACACCGTCCTATAAATGAAAGGCGTTGGGAGTGTAGATTGTGCAATTGTTTTCAAGCAATTTCACTACGAACGTTGCTTAATCATTATAATAAGGTTCATGGAAATGAGCCCAAATAGTGTGTGGCATCGAGAATTGTCCAGCAACATTTACGAAATATAATTCGTTATACAAGCACATTACAAGATCTCATAAAGAAGTCTACGATAATATCGAGGATAATACCAACGTTGAATTTAACCACAACAATGAGGATAATAGATGATGGACGATATTGATCACCACTTCTCAGTCGACTCAGCCTCAGATGAGAGCAGTAGTGATGAAGAATTGGAATTGGAAATGAATATAGATAAGAACCAGGTACCTATATTGTTCAGCCGCAAAGGAGAGTGTTGTCATTACGAACAAACTGTGATTACAATACTCTATCATAACAAGTGCTTTGACTTTTCAAAAAACCATATTTAAGTGCTCTAGTTACCATATATGAAACATTTGCTATTTAGCATGTATGAAATGCTGGCAGTTTACTTAAATGATGGCATGTTGAATATAGGCGGTGATATAAATAAAATGATAGCAGTATTCATCTGTGCTGTCAAGTGAATTATCTAAATACATGGTATCACAAAACATAACTGTAATATTACTGTGATATTAACATAACTGTGATATTATGTGCACAAACCAAGTAGTTTAGTTATTTAAGTGTAAAATAATTTATGTGGTTTTAGAATGTTGACAATATTGATATTACAAAGAGTGCTGCCTCATTTCTCTTAAAGGTGAAAGAAAGGAATAAAATACCTCAGGTGTGTATAAATATTTATTGATGAAACCTTGGTACAGAATAGTGTACCCAACCCACATCCCTATTTGCATAAACAAATGGTAAATTGCTAAACATCAATGGCCAATGAAAACTAGATAGTGCTATCCACCTGATAATGTTTTTTTATTTCTCTGAAATCACCTGTTGTTTGGTATAATTTTGAGTGAAATTTGAAGTTAAATTAAAATTGAAGCTTAAAATTAAAGCTGAACTGTGTAAAGTACATAGCATGAAACAATCTCTCCTTAAAGAGTCAAATTGTGTGGTTTTAGAAAAACTATGTACCTGAAATGCTACATATAATATGAATACAATCAATATGTTCAGGTTGCAATGGAATCAATAATGGACAGTACACGCACACTGGTAAAGCAAGTGGTAGATTCTGTGAAAGCGGAAGTTTTAAATGTCATGGCCTTCTACCCTCAATTGAAATTGTGGATGTTTACAAAGTAAGTTGGATCAAGCTTTTTGGAACAAAGTTTGCAAAGTCTGGTATTATTGCTATTGATGTTGCTGGAGACCCTGCATTGCCTGTTTTTGGAGTCATTGTGTGCATATGGTCAATTCTGGACTTTACATACTTTGATGTAGAGTTGCTTAAGACGTTATCTTTCGATGAAAAACATCAAGCTTATCACGTTTCGGAGAGTACAGAGGATGTTACTGCAATTTATCCTTATGACAGTCTAGTGGACTTTAATGTCTTTCATTGGAAGAAAGATAAAGAGAATAACAAGTATGTTACAGTGAAATATGACCTTTGTGATATAATTGAGGAGCATATTGAAGGACGAAATCCTCTTCATTTGTGACTGGTAAGAGTTTTTAGAAAAATTTAAATTGTATATAGTATCTTGCATGAAACAGGCAGTCAAGACTATTAACATAAATTGTGGCACATTGTTTCAACACTATTTCACCAAATGGCACATTGTTTCAACTTGTATGTTACACAGTGAAACAAACATATGTATCCAGAACAATGTTACCAGGTATAATGTATTGTTTGTATAAAAAGCGGCAATCAGCTGCTTTCTTCTTTATGTGCAGTGGACTTAATCGCACCTATATATTACTACTAATGTTGAATCACCTTGTCATAACTATTTACTGTTTATTGAAGGGCTTATTCTAGCCAACCTATAGCATTGAGTGATTTTAGGGTTGAAACATTTTAATATTTCATCCGGAAAGTTTGAAATTAAAAATATCCATTTCAAATGAATCTATTCACTGAGCTCATATATTATGAAAACGATACGTTTTCAGCGATGACAATTAATGCCAAAGTGTACAGTACAATTTAGATTTGAAATGGATATTTTTATTTCAAACATTCCGGGTGAAATACAAAAATATTTAATTGAATTGCCTTTCAAGCTGGCTCCATATAGTTATAACAAAATTCAGGTAAAAAAAACATGAAAAGAAATGGGTGACTTTCCCCAACAGTATTAGCTGAAGAAAATTCCAGGATAAGCTGATGTAAGCATGGGTGATTTGATCTGTTACTAACAATTAATAGTGTGATTTTTAGTTCATAAATAAACTAAAAAAAACATTTTCAGTTAAAATCTTCAAAATGCCTTAATGCTATCCTAATAACGTTTGAACGTCTTTAAATGTTAAGTGTCTGACTTTTAATAAACTGTATCGAGCCACTTCTAATAAAAATTAAGTAATAGGTAGAACTAATTTACTAGATTTAAGAATGAGAATAAATTTGTTCCAACATTGTTCTTGTTTCAAGGATATTATTCCTGTCGTATTCTTATTTTAAGAACTTTATATTCTCCCCAAATTTACTTGATTCTTGTTTCAAGAATGTTGCAATTCTTGCGAGAATATTATTCTTGTTATATTCGTATTTTAAGAATTTTATATTCTCCCCAAATTTACTTGATTCTTGTTTCAAGAATGTTACATTTCTAGCGAGAATATAATTCTTGTCTCGAATTTATTTGTCTTATTTTAAGAGAAATAATTCTAGGCAGAAATATTCTTACTTGTTTCAAGAATTTTAAATTGTTGCTAAGAATAGTATTGCTCAAATTAAGTATTGTTTTACTTAAAACAAGAATTTTGCAAGAATATTTTTCTTGCAAGAATTTCCAATTTTGCTGTGTATATTCATAAATTATAGAGAACAATGCAATAGAACGATGAAACAATAGAATAAGCCAATCGACCCCTTTTGTTTACTCGGGGTAAAACTCTAATTAATAAAACTTTTTGTTTAATTCTCGTGATCTTTGTATAAAAAAGAAAAAATCCATAGAAAGGATAGTTGATTAACTTAAAGTGGAGGACAAGTTCATATGTAAGATAAGGGAGTTAACAAACGGTTGTTATTTATATTTTGAACTACTATACACTTTAAAATACGATGTGTTGTCTTAATATCTAGCCTCACTTAGGTTCACTGTATACTTGTAATATTCGAAATTTGGGTCAGAGGACCAACACATTATGACTAAAAAATTGGTTTGACTAATATTAGTCACTTAAGATGGTCCACTACAGAAAAAATCATGAGTTTTCTGTTTTAAATACTCCAAGAGATGCAAACTTAAATGTTCGCTAAGCGATCCTGATTTTCTTTTACTCCAAAAAAGATCCAGATAGATCTACACTTTCTATATCGTTGACAATAACAAGTCTCAGATTTCAGTTCAACTCCTTCTCATACCACGATGGAGAAACCTATAATGCAATCAAATGCGATGGAACCTAAACCAACAGAAGATCCTAAACCAATCAAATGCGATGAGTCGATCAGATTCACCAATCACGAGTGCAGTACATCAGCGAAATAGAGTTTGTGGTAATGGAAGCTATATCTGGACCATGCACTCGTTCACTTCTGACTACTGTTGACTTTGTGTGTCGTGATGCTACAATAGAGTGGGTGTTTTTCTAATGTTTTGTTTTAGGAGCTTCAGCTCTTTATTCTATGTCTTCAGCCCATTGGAATGTTCTATTCAAATTAAACGATGTCTTATAACAAGTCGTCCTTTTATTAACATTTCCTACTCTTTCCTTTTCGCCTACCTGCTCGAACTTGTAAAGCTAATTACATGTAAAAAACTTCCTGGGTTTTTCTCTACTTGTACCAATATCTCAAACTCAGTACCTATCAAGATCTTTATTCAATCTCGCTGATCATTAGCGTATATTAACCTTATTCCTAACCGATGGGCCCACGATTACAAATAATTTCCCATGGCCATATACGTAACACGCGAATATTAAAGGCGGAAAACTTGGCATCGTAAATTATGTACGTCATATGATTTCTTAAATTATTAAATACTCTGCGCGCGTAGACAGTGTCGCTGTTATCATATAATACTGTTATATACAAAACGTCGCATATACTTTTAGATTTGAGGCCATATCCCCGCTCTGTCTTTTGACTCTTCATCAGTAAGAAATAAGACATGTGAAAGAGAGTGGCTCAATTTGTAACCGTTAGTCCACGATTACAAATAATGTCTCATGAACTTATGCACGTACACATTGGCAATGCAAATTAGTTTTAGACCCCGCTTACACTATACCGAATTCACATAGTCACGACATCAGTTTATAAGTTTTACGATATTCCTTGTCACTTTGGTACGGCTAATTTTGATGTCCTGCAGGCCATACGAATCCGGTTCAGCGTTTATATTATACCGCATTCGCATGGTCACGACGTCAAAATTAGCCGTTTAAAAGCGAGTTTTACTCCCAGAAGTCAAGTATGACAGCATCATTGCTTTAACATTACCTGCAGAGTGAAAAAGTTCTGTGGAAAAAGATACCGTAAAAAAACTTAAAACGATTTCGTGACCATGTGAATCCGGTATAGTGTAAACAGGGTCTTAATGTGCGTCATGCAATATGAATGGCCACGCACTTGAGAATATATGCACTGCGTAGGCTGCTATTAAAAATGCTTTAAATACTTCTAGAGTTGAGGCATATTCTCGCTCTATCTTCGACTGTTAATCAGAGCTTCAGACTAGTAAGACATAAAACATAATAACGAGAGGGGCTTTGTATAGCGATTGATAAAGATGATATCGTGGCGTTTTTCGATCCCGATTGCCGTGGTCTTCTGTTCGAAGGTAGTGTTTTCCTGTTATAGCGATTCACAGTGCTTGAGCTATGAAACTTGTTGCAGTGACAATAATTGTCGTTCTGATTGTTCAACACATTCACGTTCGAATAGCAGTGAAGGACTGAGTTCCGTAATTGTAATTATTGTTGTGATCTTCGCCATTGCTTTCAAAATCGTATTCTGGGTGGGGATTTGTTACTGCTGTCGAAGACGACGATATGGTGGCATTACGTTCACTCGGTTTGGCAACGCCCCGACGGCCGTCGTGGTAAATTCATCGAGTACCCAAATGCACGCTACGAATCCTCAAGAAAATAACGCAGTTCAACAAAGTTATACCCTACCACAACAGATATATACCTCTCCTCAACAGCAAGGCAATAACCCTCCTCAACAAGGTAACAAGCCGTCACAACAAAGTCATGTAATGGTTAACCCAGTCAGCAATCCTCCTCCATCGTACATTGACAACCATCAATCTTGAATTTACACTGATCTAACTCTATTGTACTCCAGTTAGACTTTAATAGTGACTAATATTAGTCTAACCAATTTTTTAGTCATTTCACGTTTCGAATATAAGAAGTATACAGTGAACCTAAATGACATTATATATTAAGACAGCACATCGTATTTAAGGTGTATAGTACGTAGTTCAGAATACAAATAAACAACCGTTTGTTAACTCCCTTATTTTATATATGGTCTTGTCTTCCACTTTAAGAATGAGTTAATTCAATGTGAGTTGTTGATCATAACGTGATTTGCCTGCGGGGCGATTCAACTATCTTTTCTATGGATTTGGACCAAAATGGCACTTGCTTTGGAAGTACGTCTCACCTACTTTGAAAGTAAACTTACATGGGAAGTACGTTTTTGGATTTTTTTTTTTAAATGTATTTTAAAAGTCAAAACACATCCGGAGGAAAGATCCAGATATAGATATACACTATTTTACATCGTTAAGATAACGCATCTCAGACTTGAGTTCAACTCCTTCTACTATACCACGATGGAGAAACTTAAAGCAATCAATTGCGATGGAAACTAAACCAACAGAGGAGCTTAAACCAATCAAATGCGATAAGTCGGTCAGGTTAACGAATCACAAGTGCAGTACATCAGCCAGATAGAGTTTGTGGTAATGGAAGTTATATCTGGACCATGTTAAAGACTCGTTCACGACTGATACACCATACAAATGAAAAGTGGGTCCCATGCATTGACTGACACTTGTGTGGCGTGATGCTACAATAGAGTGGGTGTATTTCTAATGTTATGTTTAGAGAGCTTCAGTTCTTTATTCTATGTCTTCAGCCCATTGGAATGTTCTACTCACATTTAACGATGTCTTAACAAGTCGTTCTTTTATTACCATTTCCTACTCTTTCCTATTTCGCCTACCTGCTCGAACCTGTAAAGCTAATTACATGTAAAAAACTTCCTGGGTTTCCTTTCTCTACTTGTACACTGCCCAATATCTTAAACTCAGATCTTTATTCAATCTCATCTTACGCTTTTTTATGTCATATAACCGCTGACCATCAGCACATTTAACCTTATTTTTAACCGTGAGCCCACGATTACAAATAATGTCTCATGACAGAATACGTAACAGGCGAATATATAAAGGCTGGAACATAAAACATTGGCAATGTAAATTAGTTTTAGTGTGCATCATGTAATCTAGATGAGATCTACTCGCATGAATGTATGCACTGCGTAGGCTGCTGCTATTACAAAACGCTTTAAATATTTCTACAGTCGAGGCCATATTCTCGCCCAAAACGTGAGGGAAGTTCTTTGACTGTTCATCAGAGCTTCAGAATAAGACATAATAACGAGAGTGGCTTTGTATAGCGATTTAAAGATGATATCGTGGCGATTTTCTATCCTGATTTCCTTGGTCTTCTGTTCGAAGGTAGTGTTTTCCTGTGATAGCGATTCACAGTGCTGGAACGATGAGACTTGTTGCGGTGACGATATTTGTCGTTCTGAATGTTCACATAGTCATGATGGAATGGGTATGGTAATCGTAATTATTGTTGTCATCTTCGTCCTTGCTTTCAAAACCGTATTCTGGGTAGTGTTTTGTTACTGTCGTCGAAGACGACGGTATGGCGGCATTACGTTCACCCGGTTAAGCAGTGCCCCCGCTGGTCCGACGACTGTCGTGGTGAATTCATCGACATCGAGTACCCAAATGCACGGTACGAATCCTCACGAAAACAACCCAGTTCAACAAGGTTATACCCCACCACAACAGATATATACCTCTCCTCAACAACAAGGTTATAACCTCCCTCAACAATGTTACCAGCCATCACAACAAGGTCATGTAATGGTAGACCCAGTCGGCAACCCCCCTCCACCGTACACTGAAAATCCTCAATGTTGAATTTACAGTCGTGATCTAGCTCGATTGTAGTCTTATTTAGACTTAGTGGCTAATATTTGTCTAACCAAATTTGTCGTCATAATATGTTGGCCCTCTGAAATTTCCCAAATTTCACGTTTAGAATATTAGCTATATATAGAAGCGTACAGTGAACCTAAATAACGTTAGATATTCTGACAGCACATCGTATTTTAAAGTGTATACTAGTTCAAAATGTAAACGAACAACAATCTATTAACAATCTTAGGG